ACTGTCATATCATCTACACTTCCCCTCCATGTTACTTGTCTCACTTCAAAGCTGCAGTCAAGAAAAAAATAAGTTAAAGGTAAGGTTTCTTTGAGGAAGGAGGCGTTAGCATTAATCACAGTCACGGACGGTCTCCAGCAGTAACCACATCGAAAACTGTCTTCTTGTGTTAATGTGCAATGACAGACACTGATATGGGCATTTTAAATCAATTATGATTTGGAAAAAAAACTCTAGGAGGAATTTATGTCAGCATTAATCATCACTTTTATTCCTTAAGCTTGTCCTTTGAAATTTTTTGTATATATATTTTTTTATTTTACAAGATGTTTTTTGCATCTGACTGTAAAAAAGGCCTTTCAGACATGTCATGATTCCTCCTGCCTTTTTGGATGTTAGTATGTTCTCAAACACATGCTTCTTTGTTCTCATCCTGTAAACAGACTGGAAGAATAAGGAGAGCAAAGAAAAGCTCAGTTTTTGCAAAACCTGTGTATTTCTAGAGTCGCAGCACTCGGCCTTTGGGCTTGGCTCCAGGCGGATGTGTGGCTCATCCTTTCCAGCTTATCAGTATCCTTCACTCACTTCTATTCAAATCCCAGCATTTTACTGCCAAATCACCTGTCTTTCTTTGCTTACCTCCATCTTTGWGCCCATTGCTATTCATTGCTTTCTCTGACTCTGTTCCAAATGCACAATGTTCTGTTTCTGTGGTGTTCTTYCCTTTAAAAAAAGCCTAGATATCCATTTCCCACTCTATCTCCTTTGCTTTGGAATAATTCCATAAATGCATTTATGTAAGATTCTGCATGCATTTTTGTTCCTGCACTCAAATTTCAAGCATCATTTATCTATTGTGGTGCTCTTTTTTTAACGCACTTATTTACAATATTGAAATTATTCTAACTATAAAAAATATACTAAACTCTGCTTCTCTAAATTTACTTGTTTGGAACTTTTCGAGCAGGGTGGACAAATCATTGTTTTGTTTTTTTCTAAAGGTATACTACAAGCTGAGCTCTTAATAGMCTCTGCAAACAGCTGAAACAAATGTGGAGACACTGAAGTAAGTAATTATGAAAATGAAGAGGGAGGGTCTGAGCAGAGGAAGAGAGGCAGAGGCAAAAGTGAGGGAGACGCTATGCTCAGGTGGCTTAGAGCGGATATTGTACGCCTTATCTGTCACCTGCAGGTCTGTGCTTATTATAGAAAGAGGCAAAGTCAGAGCAGAAAGTGAGGCAAGTGAATGTGTGTTTAAGTGCCAACAGTAATGCCCTCACTTCATCCACAGCACGAACTGCAATTATAGACACAAATTAAAAAAAATATATATACATATAATAATGCATTTATTTGATGTGTTTTAAAGTCCACACCAATTTGGAACTCGTTTATTCTCAGGCCTCGTGAATTGTCAAAAAAAGTTCCCAGTTGCAAAAAATAACCAGGTGAACATTTAGGAGCTTTTGGGCAAAATACCTACAAACGCTATTAGTAAATATGTGCTTACATGAAGTCTTTGAGATCATAGCAGACATTTAAACAGTTTTTCTATTTTTTTTAAATGCCYTGAAACATTTCTGTGCACGGTCAACACCATTCTGCAGGATGGTTAAAAATTTATGCTCTTCTATGATAAGAACCAGATAAAACTTCAAGGTCTAAAGACGTTTTAGGAATGGAAGCATTTTGAGAACCCTGTCGGTCAACTTTATAAAACCTATCAATAAAACTGCTCTTGGGCAGAACATTTTTTTACTTATTTATTTATTTATTTTGTAGAACACGAAGTGAAATATTTGCACTCAGAAGCTGCTACATCATGCATTATAAAACCACTCAGCAGGTCAGAACTGAGGCTACACTGGTGTACATGAACATTTGAAGAGATTATGTATTAGAGAACTTTAAAAAAAAAATGGGAATGTTTCCTTTGCCACTATCAACTGGCTTGTTGTCAAAACTGTTTATTTGACTGTTGAATTTCTTTCTTTTTTTCCCCAAAATCTGTTCAGCTGAATCTTAACTTGTCAGAAAGGTGTAGGGGTCTCACCAATACATGGGAGAGTTTCTTGTTGTGTGGACAAAGTTTGGCAAAACTGTGATTAGTTGGATTGACTTGTCTTGTGGGGGGAACTTAAAAAAGGAAGTAATGGTATTAGTAAAAGTATTGTGAACATGTAAATATCATTTATTGACTATCTATAGTTTAAAACTGAACAATGGGCCTCATGCAAGAACCGTTCGTACGCACAGATTTGTTCTTAAATTGTGCGTACGAGTGATTTAGGAGAATTTGTGGCATTCACCA